TTTGGCAGCTACATGGCATACTCTTTGACTCTGCCTACACACATTCTCTGTCTCTCTGTCTCTGTCTCTCTCTGTCTCTCTCTGTCTCTCTCTCTCTCTCTCTCTCTCTCTCTCTCTCTCTCTCTCTCTCTCCCTCTCTGTGTTTGGATTTCCTGCTTGGCTTTACTTTGCTAAGTCGTTGGCCAAAACAGCTTCTTTATTAGTCAGTGGTAACAAAACATATTCATAGCATACAGAGGGGAACCACACACCAAAAGCGTTAGCAACTGAAGTCAGGATTATTTCTCTCTAGATTCTAGAACCTCAGGATAGCTCTTGATTTAGCTGTTTCCACAAATCCCCATGAGTCTTGGAGCAAAAATTGTTTTCTGTAAAGAGCTGCAGGTCATCTGTGAAACGGCAATGGTCCACACCATCCTGCATTAAGCACATGTGTCTGCTCCCAATGGAGGAGGTGAACCAGAACTTTCTTTTGTTCTTCAAAAGCAGCTGAAAGGGCATTCCAGCACATGTCTGTGATTCTAGGATTTGGGAGGAGGAGGAATGAGGACCAAGAATTCAAGGCTAGCCTGGAATTCTGGAGATCCTGTCTCTAGATCAGCCACTTAAACAACCAACTGAACAACCAATATATCTGTGATCATGCCAAGTAAGAAGCAGTGGACCTGGGCAAGGGAATAAAAGGGAACAAGTATTGGAAGGGGATGCTTATGTTGACATGTTGAAAGCAAGAAGCTCTTGGAAGTAAATTGCCCAACAGTAAACACAAAAGTTGTGTAGCGTTGTTATAGGACCCAGCCATTACAAGCTTAATAGAGGCCCGCCTCTCAGAAGTTTACCATAAGGCAACAGTTGGTTTCAAGAAAGACTACAAACTGAGATCACCCAAGAACAGACCATCCAAAGGAAATTCCTAATATTACAAGCATTGTAGATAGGATTGACTGCCAGCACACACCCATCACTTTTCACCAGGACACCCCTAGACAAATGTTAGCCAATCAGGGGTCCTGAACCTTAAAAATCCCTCAGCCCTACCTTTGCTATTATAAAAATCCAACCCCAACTGAGCTCGGGGCTCTCTGATCACGCCAATATGTTGGACACACGGAGAATCCGAGTTCACAAACATCTGTGAACACAGAGCTTGCTAGACTGATAAAAACAAGGCTATGTTTACTGTTTTGATTTCAGATCCCCCCCCCCCCCCACACACACACTTCTTTTCTTGAGTTATAACATGTAGCCCATACTCTGTAATACAAAACCAGGACTCCAATGCCTTGGATAATTTTGGTTGGGGGGATTAGCTCTGTCTGTGAACAGTCCCCTTGGAAAACAGTGGTGACTGAGAGATGCAATGACTACTGACAGAGGCCAGCAGCTTCTTTTAATTCAGTGGGAGCCTGGAGGGATGGAAAGCCCATTTTCGTAACCGTGGCAACTGGGCCAACACTAAAGCCTCTTTCTGAACTGGGTTCTGATGTCAGAAGAAATCTGATAGAATCCTGAAGACAAAGTGAATGAGAGACTCATCTGTTCTGGGAAGATTTTCCTTGTTGCGCCAGTAGACCATAGTAGATGGTCCGTCCACCTCTTAATTATCTTTATGGATGTGGACTGACAAGCAGTGGGCTGGAAAGGAGTCTCAATTTGAGGAATAACCTCAAAGGGTTAGCATGAGCACGAAGGAACTTGGGAAATAGTATCATTACAGTATTTTGAAATAAGAATCAATATTTATCAGAGCATCACTCCTCTAATAGAATAAAATCTAGAGTTTCCTGAGGCTGGGAGGTCACGAGAAATGAGGAGTGACCCTGGGGTTCATTCTCCAAGGACCATACACAGGCTCACTCCACATTCCCCAGCTGTGATAGGAACATCATTACACTAAGGTCAGTACGAGGAATGAGAAAAACACGATCTCCGCCAGCGGTTTCTATGTGAAGAGGCACCAGGCCAAGGAGGTGTACAGACATTAATCCGGCTGTGGCACTGATGTAATTATAATTATGTGTTTTGACCGGCCGCAGAGCCAGGCCTGAAGCTTCTCTTTAGGGAAAAGAGTATGAAGATAATTAGAATTTTAAAAAAAAAAGTCAAAAAAGGTATTTTTATTAAAACAACATCAAAATCCTGAATAGAACCAGTGTCTGCAATTCAAAGCCCCCAAACACCCATAAAGCAGATGATGTGGGATTCCCCTCTGTATGCTGTGAATACTATTGGTTAATAAAGAAAACTGTCTTGGGCCTGCACAGGAAATAGAGGTAGCTGGGGTAGACTAAATTCTGGGAGAAAGGAGGCAGAGTCAGAGAGAAGCCATGGAGCCGCTGCCAGAGACAGACATGCTAAAACTTTACTGGTAAGCCACTGCCACATGGTGATACACAGACTAATGGAGATTGGTCAAATTAATAAGTAAGAGTTAGCCAATAAGGAGCTAGAGTTAATGGGTCAAGCAGTGATTTGAATAATACAGTTTCTGTGTAATAATTTTGGGGCCAAGCAGCTGGGAACTAAGCAGCGGCCGCACAAGCAGAGGCAGCCAAGGAGGGAGGAGGCAGCCACACACATCTTTATAAGGACAGTGTCAGCACTGAGCTGCTGGTGTGTGGCAGGGTGAGTCCCTTCCCGATCCCTGGCCTGGAAGGGCTCTGAGGTCCATATGACTTATCATCCTCCAGGACAAGGATCTTCAGGGAGAATTTCACAAGCACAGAACATATTTCTTCTCCCTCGACTCTGCTTTCTAGTGTTCTTCTGTTTTTGTTTAATTTTGTGGTTTATCTTCTTGAAGAATGGAGGGAATGCATGAAGCTCTGCTGCTGGGTCTGTTGCGTCAGGAAAACTGGCCTCCTGCATCTTTCAGACCAACTGATTATGCTCACAGTAGAGTGGACAGAGACAGCAAGGAGAGCACGTAGCAAGTCATCCTTGTACTTGGTCAGTATAATACCCACGCCAAGCACATAGTAGGCATGTCATCAATGCTAACTTGAGCCAACTGGCCACTTTATCTAAACATTGCTGTTTTGTGGTCTGTGGTCTGTTTCTGAGTAGGAGCCAGCAGTCATAACACTGATGGGTTTTTGAGCAATCGCCTGTTGATCCTCATGATCCCATTAGCGAAAGTGACTAAATAGCTCAGCGTAGTACAATATTATCCTGATGGGAGCCTGTGAGAGCTGAGTGTTACTAAGCACTTGTCAAGACATTGCAAGAAACCAAGAAAAGTTACTGAAGCCCCAGATTTTACAAAGTATGAAGATGCCCAGGTAAAAGCAAGAGTAGAAGGTCATTTCTATTTTTGTGATAAACAGAGAACATGACGGTTATGAACACTGAGCATCTATGGAATATATCACTCAAGAATCTCAGTCATATTAGTAACATCCCACAGAGAAGAACAGACTCCATAGGTAAAATAATTAGATGCCTGAAAATAACAGGCAAGTCTTAGTTCTCTGAGGATTCTACAGCTTTACAGGTCAAAGCGGTGCTTATACATGATCCTTACAGGGTGTGGTTTATGTACATCCCAGTAATTAAATTTCAATTGAAATTCAAAGAGTACATGTAAGGTAGATAAGCGGAGACAAAAAGTGGTTTAAAAGGAATAATTCTCCTTTATTAGTAAATAGAACTTTTAAAAGTATTTCGAGCAAAGAAAAGAAAGCTAAGGGCAATGGTGAGAAGAGAGACTAAGAAATTCTCGAGAAGCCCCACGCACACTCTGTCTCCTCAGAAAAAAGAGAGTTGAGGTAGTGCCGTGTCTCTGGATCCACTGTGACCAGCTGGTAAGAGTCAGTCAGTGGACAGCAGAGGAGAATCCTTAGCCGAGGTAACCTCAGGAGAGGAGCACGGGCAGTGCTAAGCAGTACTCTAAATTCTCAGAGGAAGACAATGCCTGACAAGAAAATCAGACAGGCTAGAGCTCAGCGGCGCTTGTGTGCATGAGGCCGTCATAACTCAGAGACACGTAAATCTAGGATATGAGCAGTTTTATAAGTTAGGAGGCCCGAGTCTTAGAGTAAATAAGCAGTCATCAGAAAAGTATTCAGCTGTTTGGAGAAGGACTCAGTTTGTACCTCCCAACATGCGAGCCCCACAAAATAAATTCTAGCAGTTGGACCAACCATCTAAATAGAGACAACAAGGGCCCTTCCATAAATGAACCAAGATGGAAATAGATGCAGATAAATAATTCACACCCCCTCCGCCCTTCTGGTGCTGAAGGTCAAAGCTAAGGCTAAGAGCTCACTCTATCACTGAGTCTCGGCTCTGGCTCCGTAACTTTCTTTTTCTTTCAGTATGGGGGTTTGAACCCACAGTGTTGCACATGTTAGGCCAAACCCAGTGAACTACATTCGCAGTCCTCTTGAGAGTTTGTTTGCTTATTTATTTATTTAGGTATATAGTCTCCCTAAATTGTCCAAGCAGACCTGAAGCTTTCTACATTTGGCCTTTTGCCTCCCAAGTAGCTGGGATTATTGGCCTGTGCCACATACCTGGTTGCCATTGGCTGATTTTATATACAGATAACGGCAAGGAGCTGCTGGGTTCAGATTATGAATAGCATCTAGTACGGATCGTTAGGACTCATTCCAAAGTCTCTGCTGACAAATCCACCTCACTTGGTGAACCTTGGGACTCTGGTAAACAAATGAATGCACCTAACATTTGTAATTTCTGGATTAAGAAAAACAGTATGGAACTTTTAACAATTAAAAGCCTAAGATGGGGCAGGAGAGAGAGCTCTGTAGTTAGGAGGCACCGTTCTGCTCTCCCAGAGATCCAAGTTCGCTGTTACTAGCACACAATTGTCTGCAATTCCAGCTTCAGGGGGATCCAGTACTTGTGGCCTCCCTGGGCTCCTCCACATGTGTGGACATACTTGCCCTCACACAGACATATAATTAAAATAAAATCACTAAAAGATACCATTAAGATAAAGTCACTTTGGTTGCAAGTGGACAGTGCTGGGGACAACTTACCTGCAGCAAATGACGGCTTTGCAGGACAGAGCTAAGTCCAGGAAATATTGCCGCACTCCGAAGGTTAGGGCGTATTTGAGGGTCTTCCCGTCAATGATAAGAGCAAAATCGTTTTCCTTCCGAAGGGCATCCCCAAGAGTGGTGCAGTGCCGACTGAGAGTTTCCCTGGTTCCCTGAAATATCAGCCAAGCTCGTCAACATTCATTCTATTTGTTCTACTACAAAGTCTCCAAGGTGTAGCTAAATTTCAAGTAGTAATTACATTGAGTTATTTTTAGTGATTAAAAAAAATCTTTCAAATTTCTTTCACAAACCTTCATTCACTCAGTTTTCACAACAGCCCCTGGAGAGGGCAACTGACAAGGTTATCAGTTAGGTTCTGTGGGTTATATACCTGTCCACGGCGGGGCAGGGATGGGACCACAGTCGCTTCATCCTGCGTGACTCTGCCATTCATTACCCTCACCACGTGATTGCAATACTGCCCGTAGCATTTTCAGCAAATTCTCTTCTCAAGAAAAAGAACAATGCTGACCTAATTTATGAACTAGTCAGAACTGGTTTGCCGTGAACCAAGAAAAAAAGTTGGGGAACATATTCGAAATAATTTATGAGTGTTCTTTTGAGAATACTCAGTGCTATTGAAATTTAATGCCCAGGAACCTAGAGCAGGAAACGCAGGGTTCGTAATCTCCTCTAACTTCATGAAGTGGCTTCCGTGGCTTCAATCATGGTTCTGTGATGCTGTATTTTAGTGTGTGTGTGGGGGGCAGAGACATGTAGCTTGGTAATTGTGATGGAGCCAATATAAAGAGCCTTTCTATCAACCAAAAGTTTACTCTTAAGCAGAATAAAAACCTTTAGTATCAGGGAAAGCTTTATTCATTTAAATTGCGTAAGAACAGGTGTAGGTCCTTCATCAAGGCTTTTCCCCTCAGAGGGAAAAAGGAAAAAAAAAAAAAAACAAACCCACCATCACTACTAACAACAAACAACGTACCACACACAAAAAATGATCATTTTGTATACCCAGTTTTCCTCCCCAGATCCTAAAGACTCTTCTTCCAACATAATGGTTCTGTCCAGTTCCTGTTCTAAAGAGCCCTGGCACCGAAGAAACACAACAATCATTCTCCACAAGGAAACAGACATTGAAGTTATGGCACGAGTACTAAATCTACAATTATTTATATGAATAGAATACAGTCACACATAATACGCTTATAGGATACTTTGCGTTCATTATATTCAAAACAGAGAGTTAAGTGTGATGGTTTATTTGGATTGTCAACAGCGTTAGCCTAAGCAGCACCCGAGTGTGACTGTGACTGTGTATGCAGAGACAAGCAGACCATGGGCGCTCTGAACTAATAATGGACTCACACCTTGACAGCTTCACAGTGTGGTGCTGCTGCTGGGATGTGGTGAAGCGAGGTGGCGCCTGTTAGAAGTGTCACCAGGTGCGGGGCCGAGGTGCTCTTACCTGGGTCTGTTCCAATCTCTGCTTGCCCCTGCTTCCTGCCCACTGTGCTGGTCTGCTACACCCTGCCCACATCATGAACTGGACTTGGGAAACTGTGAGCAAAAGGAACCCTTTCTCATCGCTAAGTTGTTCTTATTGGGCATTTGGTCACAGAAAAGTAACTGATACTGTATTCCTCCAATTTAAGGGCGTGGCCCAGTCGTTTCAGGGTGTGGGAAGCAATAGGGAGATTAAAATTTCACACTGGCGATATTGGAAGGTGTTTTTGTATTTGTATTCAAACGTGGTTCACACTATATCCTAGCATTTTAGAATCTGTTTATCTGAATGACAAACCATGTCATACTATAGAGTAAGAGTGCCCAATAATCCCAGCAGTAAAATCTTCCAATCTGATCATTACACATTACATTACACCGGGGGTGAACACTTGCTCCAAGAGGACTTAAGGAAGTGTAAAAGTCTATAAAATTCTGCCAGGAAAGTTTACAAATGGCAGTCTAAAGCACATGACTCCAGATTGTTTTAAAAGCAAATTCAGAGATTAGGTGGAAAAATAAACCAATAAAGGTGTGAAAGATTGGAATAAGAATAAAATGCCTGAAATGTGCTGTACACTGGGCTGTTCTAAGAGCTATGTGCTTAGACATTTCTGTTAACACGAAGTATAGATACTATTCTTGTGTTAGTGTTAGGACGCAGTGCTCAAGCTCCTTGCTCATGAATACATTTACAAAGTAACATCAGCCCAGAACTAAGTTTCTGCTCTGGTTTGTCTTTCTCTGCACACCCCATCAAAAAGAAACCAAATGCCAGAAGCATCAGGTAGCATCAGGAGCAACTTCAAGGCCACAGTATTCTTTCTGCGGTTTCCCAGAAGCCTTCACTGCCCTTCATCTCACCTGTTCATAAAACAGAGTTCAAGCACAACCATGTCTCTTCCTGCTCTCCCATCTATCCAGGGCTTCAACCCACTAAAATCTATCCCCTTACATGGTATCAAATCCATAGTTTGATCCTGAGGAACTTTCCCCAGAGTTCCTTCCACAGGCTTGACTCTTGCATGTCTCTCCTGCCAAAGAAAGCTGACCTACCAGACTCCCAAGCTGCCCAGTGCAACTAAGCCTATGTTAACAAAGCCCTCAACTCCAGGGGAATGTCCAGGGCTGAGGCCCTGCCCAAAACGTGTACAGAGCCTACAATTATCACACACTCAGAAAGACATTTAATGACAGCACTGATAAATAGTGACAGCATTCCACTGGCAACAGTCCATTTCTCTTTAGCATGCACACGCGTGTGAACACACACACACACGACAGACAGAGACAAAGACAGCAGACTTTCAAATAAACAGCCTCTGTGTGTGTGTGTGCGTGTGTGTGTGTGTGTATGTGTGTGCGCGTGTGTGTTGCTTAAGTGACACTTGAACTGGAAACCTGAAACAGAACCTACAAGGGACCCCTGGGAGACTTCAGGTCTCTTTGGGGATCAGCTGTAAATGAAGAAATCACCCTCAACACTGTGGAACGCCCATGCTCCCCAGGCTGTGGGAGCAGCCCCTGTGCCCTGCTTTCCTTTTCTAAGGTCTTCTCTGACACCTTCAAATTGGCTGAAAATTCTCTTATTTGTGGCATCAGGACCTGTGTCTCCTTGGTGACTTATCAAAGACCTTCAGCAAATCAAGAGGTGTCAGGAGATGTAAGAGGCAACATCTCAGGCAGGGTGAAAAACTCAGCAGCCCACCTCGGGTGTGAGGTTACACCAACACCAGCCTGCTAACTCGCGCTATTTTAGTTCAGAGCGTCCGTGTACAAGGAGCTCTGTTGCTGGCTGGGTGCCGCTAGTTATGATTTATATTTTATCCTTATTTATTGTTGGTGCTGTTAAAAAAATTCTCTTCTTTATGAAACATCATTGCATATTCTCCAAGCCTGGGAGCTGTGCTTTATGGCCTCATGGCATTGAAGCTTATCTCCTGTGGCTATGGATAAATTTATTACTGTATTAGCTGCCACTCTGTTTTCTCTTTGGCTACTGGAGGGGGAAATGTTTAAACATTTAAACTCAGTGACTTGTGAAAGTGGAAATATGTAAAGAAGAAGTTAAGTTGGAAAAAAAGGATCAAAGACGGCATAGGGCGGAACAATACAAGGTCTGTGCAGCATCCTGCCCGTTGCTATTTGTAAGCTGGATAAAAGGGGGCATCAGAGGTGTCCCAAGGCTAAGGCAGTTTGTGGAGTCAGACATGGGGACAGAGGAAAGGTCATAGTTCTGGCCAATAAGGGAAAAGTGGATTTGACAAGGCTGTGACATTTCCTATGGCTTCTCCTCTTTAGTCCCCTGTCCCTGGACACCAGTGTCTTGCACAGCTGTATACTCAAGGAGAGCATTCAAGGCAAGGAAGTCCTTCCCGACCATCTTGCCCCACCTTCTCCTCTCTGCAACATCACAACCTTGCTACAACAAACACACCATTTCTCAGTGCCGGTTAGGTTTTGTCAAACTTGATACAAACTAGAGTCACTGGAAAGAGGGACCCTCAGTTGAAGAATGGGTTCCATCAGGTTGGCCTTTGAACCTGTCTGTCAGTTGGTGCCCACTCCTGAGTGGTGGTCCTGGGTTGTGTTAAAAGAGCAAGCTGAGCAAGCCATAGAGAGTAAGCCAGTAAGCAGAGGTCTTTTGTGGTACCTGCTTCCAGGCTCCTGTCTCAGCTCCTGCCCTGATTTCCCTGATAGACTCTCATCTGTAAGATGTAACAAACCCTTTCCACCCCACGCTGGTTTTGGTCAGTCTTTTATCACAGCAATAGATGGCAAACCAGCATAGGCAGTACAGTAAAACAGAGGCATCAATCTCTTCTCCCCCAGAGGCTAGTCCACATCCTTCTTTCCTCCTGCTTAAAACCTGACTCATAAACATCTGTGTGCTTCATTCTCCCCTTAGCAGCATCCCCAGCCCCCATGGCCATTTAAGCCTATGTACAAGGTCAACGTTTTCTTACTCCAAGAAATGAATAAATAAACTAAAAAATAAGTCTCAAGATTCTACTTTCTCCAAGTCCTCCAGGTAACAAGAATGCTTCCATCTTTTGGGTCCCCTAAATACCCTGTCTGCTTATGTAAAATAGCTGTGGCCCAGCTTGATTTGCATCTCAGCCTTCTTCCAGCGCCTGAAGTCTGTGATGAGGAGGCCACAGAGAAGACAACAGAACTCCTTGTGGGAAGTTAAAACATCTCACTCACTCCTGTGACCCCTGTGGATGCTTTCCTGCTGTCTCTAAACTCTTCAAGAATCTGGGGTACGCTCAACTAGAAGAAAGAAAATGTTACTGTGTTTCTCCTAATAAAAAAGAAATAGGGAACAAATAATTAATGACAACCCCACATCTACTTCTGCATCAAACAGCATCGACTGTCCAGTGAATGCCATAAGATACACACCCAGGCTAACTACCGAGTGACCAAGGCAAGGCGTGCAGCTGTAGGCCAAGCGGGAGGAAATGGTACTTTATTCGGTTTATAAGAAACTGAGAGGGGGCTGAGGAGAGGGAAGGAAGAGAGAGGAGAGAGAGGGAGGAGGCATGTTGAGGAAGAAGGCAGTTAGGGCAAGCAGAATTCTTTACAACAGCAATAGGGCCATGGATTTTTCCTAAACCCTCACTTATATTTAGAGCAGAAGCCGGTCAAA